GCTACTCTTTATAGGAATATAGCGCTATACTTACAATACCTAAATTTGCCAATGTTTCAAATGGAGGATGTTAAATTCTCATCCCATATTCGTTCAGTTCGTAATAGCACAAAATGCTCCAGGGTGCCGCGCTTGTTTATATATGACTAGATCACATGACCTTACCTTACCTTACCTCTGTATCTTTAACCCCCTTTGTAGAGGAACCATACGCTAGTATGTAGAACTTGTGATCCGCAATTTCTATGTACAGTGATGCCTTCACCAATATGTTGCAGTGCTCTATATTTACAGTGAAATCTTACCCACACACACTTATATTGAAAATCCTTTGTTTTATAATTAAAATGTTTCTGTGCCTATAATACGGTGGTTAAAAGTCAGTCACTATAAAATATAAAATTCCTTTCTTTCTTTATATATATACACATATGTTACACATTTGTTTTCGGTTCCCCTAACCGTTTTGTATACGTAGCTAGATATGCTTTAAAAGTATAACTCATTTCTGTAAGATATCAATAACATTATTCCATAAAATCATTTGTTTTCGTATCACGGTAAGATGATAAAAGAATGAGTGCCTCTTCCTCATGATTTAAAAGATATATAGTAAAGTATTGTCTAAAAGTTATATTCGGTTCTTCTAAAAAGTCCTTTATATAATCCATATATTGCTTAAAATTCTGTTGGCTATATATAATTGAAGATAATTTCGATATAAGATCGCACACTTTAGTAAAGTGTCACCACTAGTATGTATATATGGTAAAATAGGTTCATTATTTTACACTCTGTAAACTGACTAGTATATATGAGTTGTGTGGCTAAGATATTGTTTCTTCTGTTATGGTAGTGGTTAGCTTTTCCTTTTAAAGTCATTATCCTTATTATTATCAACCGCATACTATCTTATAACGGGCTATATGTAGCTGGTATATCAAGCGTCTAGTTAGGCGTTCTACTTTTGCTACACTGGCTGGAGAGAGTTTTCTTGATGTTGCAACCGGTGTGATGTCCAGAATTGTTTGCAATTTTTCATTGTCCAAAAGTTCATTAAATTTGATTCCAAGACTGTCTAGTACAACAACTGTTTCTAGTAGTATCTTATTCCTTACATTACGGAGTTGTTCACATTTTAATATGAAATGGGTCACAGTTTCGTCATCCTTTGAGCATAGTAGGCATTTCGGATCGGTTTTGTCCTTGTACATTTTTATTCGTTTGTTTTGTAGTATATAGGATCCAGTAAGCAGCTTAAGTTTAACTGGTAGTCTTGTCGTAAATATGGCTGAATGGCAGTTAATTTTGAACAGAAGATGAATTTTCCCTTTTTCCAGGTTTCCTGTTGTGAGATGGTCCAGTCCATTATATAGTGGCAGTAGTTGCACTATTGATTTACTCCAGTAGTTATGTACTGTTCTCTTGATGTTTGAGGTCCATAAGGATTTTTTTACGGGGTTATCCAGATACCATGTAGCCTCTTGTAGATCGTACTTCCTGAGCATATGTTTGATAGCGACAAACCAACTAGAACTTTGGTTGTTTTTTAGGATAAGTTGTCGTCTAGCTAGTGATTTTTCTATGCTTTCTTCGGGCTGATTACAGATGTTGTTGAATAATCCAAGTGCTCGGATATGTAGTTGGGCTTCTATTGGTAGTATTCCGGTTAAGATGTTAATAGTTATATCTGCTAAGCAAGTTGGTAATGAAAGTATTTGCTTAAGTAGCTTTTTTTGGAAGTTTTCGACTAGTGTTAATGAGCTTGTTGTTGGTAATACTAGCTCTAGACCATAGAGAAGTACTGGAGATACATATATTTTGTATAGATGCACCATTGTCTCTACATCTAATCCGTTATGACCATGAAATCCTCCTCCAAGGAGGCTATATGCGCTTCTCCTTGCTTTTTTTATATTTTCCTCCACGTTAGCAGTCATGTTTTCTTTTAGTGACGTGGTTCTGATGATTCCTAAGTGTGTGGCACTCTTCACTGATGGCATTTCGTGGGGCCCATTGTTGTTAAGGGGTCCTGTTTTCGCTTCCTGTTGGTAACGTTGAGGACTACGCTTTTGGTAGGTTGTAATTGGTAGCCTTCCATATATGCATAATCACATGCCATGTTTATAAGCAGTTGTGCTTGGTCTGGTTCTTCACTAATTAGTGCGATGCAATCTGCACATGCAGTACTATTTACACTTATGTTTCCTATTCTATATCCTGCCTCAGTTGTTTCGTACATGTTTAATAGCTGGTTGATGTATATTTTGTAGAGATTGGTGCTAAGTATACATCCTTGTCGCACTCCCTGGTTAACGTTGAATGGCTGCGAGATGTTTCCTACCCATTTAATAGCACTTTTAGCGTTTTCGTGTAGATCTTTGATCAGTCCCCAGTGTCCATCATCAATTCCTGCCATAAAAACTCTTCTGAGCATATGACTATGAATAACAGTGTCAAATGCTGCTTTGGCATCTAAGAGTACCAGGTGGAAAGTTGTGTTGTTGTCGTTGGATTCTCTGTAACTTTCTTCTATTGGCAGCGCTGAGTTAATTGGTGATGATCCTGCAGTGAAACCTCTCTGTGTTTCTAATACTTTGTTATTCGTACGCTCTTTGATGACGGTTTCAATTATTTTGCCTATGACTGGTAGCACTGTAATTCCTCTATAGTTGGTAGCTTGCTGTCTTGTTCCTTTATTTTTGAAAACTGGTGTTAGTAGTCCCATTTTTAATGATGCTGATACAATTCCGTGCTTGAAGATACATTACACGAGTGTTACTAACGTTGTTTCTATGTCGGATCCTGCATGGATAATATGTTCGATGGTTATGCCCTGGAAATCCGCAGATTTACTTCTGTTTGTTGATCTGATTGCGTTTGTAATTTCATTGTGCGTTACGTTTCTGATGTTATTACGTTGCACGAGTCGGTTTATACTCTGAATATCATCTTCAACTTGGTTATGATATGTGCTCTCTATGTCTGTCTGGTTGTTAAATGTTGCTAGACTTCTAAAGTGTTCCTCAAATCCAGTGATGAAATTTTCACTTTCCATGTATTTGACTCCGTTAACCTCTAGCTCCGTGATTACAACATTTCCTTTCTTCCTGTTGTTACGTACGAGTTTATGGAACATTTTTGTATCCTTTACTCTTGTTTCAAGAATATTTTCCTTCTCCTTGTCTCTTATTTTAGCAATCTCTCTTCTTATTGCCCGACGGACGTTCTTCTTAGTTTGATTTTTCTCCTGGAGCATTACGTTACTTTTGTTGTTGGGTCTCCCGTGATGTTTCCAAACATTATATTTTTGCCTTGCAATTTTCAACGCTACTTGTATTTCGGGCGTCCATACTTTTAATTTCGGCTTTGCGTTGAATTTTGCCTTTGATGATGATGTTAGGTTAGCTGTTTCCCTTAGAAGTTCACATAATTTGGTTGTGGCTTGCTCAATTGATGTTTCTTCCATATTTTCTCTAATCTGGAGGCTGTCTATATGCATGTTGATGTGAGCAGAATACCATTCTTTGTCTACTTTGTCCTAATTGACCCTTTTTGCAATTTTGCTGCTAGCTTGCGCATGACTGATATTTGCGCATTCGTAACTGAATTTGGTACTCATACGAATTGTGTGATGATCGGATGTGTTTTCTGTCACGTTGTTGAGTACTTGTTTGTTGACAAATTCATTTTCTGGCAGGTTGTGCAGAAAATAGTCTATTTCTGATTATTCCTGCCCAAGTGAGTTAACAAAGGTCCTTTCTCTATTGTCGTATTTCAGGTTGCATTCATTTATGAAATCACGGAAATAGAAGTTGCGTTTCGTGCCTGTTTGTATATTTAGGTCTTCATTTAGATCGCCGCCTATGATGATTTTGTGCGTTTCATTATACTTTTGGTATAGTTCGTATAATTGATCGATAACTTCTTGGTATTCAGACAGACGATTTTTACTTCCTTTTGCTGGCAGATAAACTGATGTTAATATTATGTTTGGATTGTTGTTTTCCTTTATTTCCACACGCTGTATCCTTTCTGACCCTAGTTCGATTGGCTTTATCATGTGGTCAATTTCTCTCTTCCACAAGATAGCTACTCCTCCATATCCTCGGGGCATACATATCGGTAACAGCGGTTCGTTTACATCAACTCCTTTGCCTATGTAACTTATGTTTTCGTGGATTTCGTCAGGAAGATGTATCTGTGTTTGAAATAGCCAATGTTCCTGAATAAGAATTACGTCGTTAGATTGTAGGAGTTTGTGTATTATTGGACCACAGGTTTTTATGTTTTTACAGTTAAATGAAATTAGATGCAGTTGGGAACTCTCTGGTATTTTGACGCTTGATTTGTTGGTTACATATGGCTTGGGTTGAGGCTCTGTAATGCTAAAAAAGGCTGTTGAACTGGAGTTTGTGTAGTATTCCTTAGGATTGTTTGTTTCTGTATATGCATATTACGAACTGGGGGGTACAAGCAGTTATTTGCCCAAAGTTGTATGTGGCGAGCGTCGTGGTGTTCATTCTTTTGCATGGGCTTCCACTGTTGAACTTGGCATGTATACTGGTGCGTTATAGTACTGGCCTTGATGTTTTGGCGTTTGTGGTTTGTAGATCAGGGGTTGTCCTGTTAACTGTTGTGTTGCTTGTTTGATACATGTATTTGCTATATTCTCCTTTTGGGGCTTTTTGATATTACTAGGAACGTTTCCGTCTTCCATCCCTTGGATTGCCTTTAATCTTTCTTCAGATGTATGTAGACAGTCATCAAAGGGCTAGATTTTGTCAATTTGTCGATCCATTTCATCTATCACAATGTTTGAAAGTTTAGTATATAGCTTTGCTAATTTTTCATCGAGTTGCTATTTCATTTTATGAAAACTATCTTGGTTGCCTTGCATTGACTCCTTGGAGTTGGTCAATGTCGGTATAGTTAGGTTGCTATTCGACTCTATTCTTCTCTTGAAGCTTAACAGTCTGTTCTAGTTCGAAGTTTCTTGCCTCTAGCTGTTTGCATCTGGACTCTAATAGTATTCTATCATTTTGTATCTCATTGAGGGACTTCTCTTTGATTTTTAATTGTTCTTCTGCTTTTCTTAATTTGAGTTCTCTTGCTCTTAATTCACTCAGTTTAGGTAAGATTGCATCCTCAGGCTCAAAGCTTTTCTGATTTTGTTTTAATTTCCTAGGTTTTGGTATTGGTTTTGGCTTTGTTGTTGATGTTGCTATCACAGACGTTGGTTCACGTGATACTTTCATTGGGCTTTTAATGCAGGTGTTGTTGCATATACTTGGACTAGCTGTGATTTCGTCATTTTCTTGAGTTTTAAGTTGTAACTCGTCTTGGATCATTATGCAGGGAATGCATATGTATGCTGTGCTTATTTCTGTCATACACTTGAAGTGGCACTTGCTATTGCATTGTTCGCATATATCCCATTCAGGATCCATAAGTATATTATCACATACTGTACAATTTTGCTCTTCTGGAGGTGTGTCGGGTGTCTCGTCTGTGTTGTATCCTCTCTTAGCTTCAGTTTCCTCTGCGAGCAGCAACTGAGCATTTGTGTGGCTCTGTGTACCTCCTTCTAGAGCTAGTATATTTGATTTTTCAGCAATGCAGAGTTTACATTAATAATATTCATCACCATTAAAGTTTTCTGCTCTCTGTATCTCCAGCTCACTTAGTTTTTGACACTTATAGTGGACCCAGTGGCTTCCTTTATCACAGTAGGTGCTCCTTGTTTTGCATCTTTTATTGCATTTAGTGCATGTTTCATTGCCGTCTTCTACTTCCAGTTTTTCATTAGTCTCTCTTCTGTTGGTTGAGTTGTTGTCTTTGTGTAGAAGATTTTGCAACTTGTTGCCAAGTTGTCTATTCAGCTCTTCTGTGCTCTGTCCTTCAACTCCTTGCTCTTGTAGGCTTTTGAGTACAATGTTATGTATGTTATTTATGTCATTGTCCAAGAATTTATTAGCACCATTTCCATTAATTAATAGCCGGCTAGTAGTGTTGTATATGTTAATTGTATAGCTGTCTTTATTTGCTGACACTTTGACCATATGCTGTACTACTGTTGTTTGTGACCTATCTGTTATTTCTCTGATGGTTGCTTGGCCTTTGCTTTCGGCAAAGTTTTCAAAGTAGCTTAATGTTGCTAGTTTGAGCAATTAAAATGTAACCGCATCCGCCGTTAGTACTAACCCTCCTTTGGTGTGTTTATATTCAACACTTATATTTCTTTTGGTAGCCTCAAGTTTTTTATTAATAGCCTTTGTGATGTTTAAGGTGTAATTTTGGATACAAAATTCTTTATTTGCCACGGTTCCAGATTTAGTACGTGATTTACTTGTAGCGACCAGGGCAGCCATGGTTATACGTTTGATTGTTGTTTTTCGTTCGGACTGTTGAAAATGTTCAATAATATACTTAGTGCTTCAGCAGCGTGGCTTGGTCATCCCATGCCTTCTGATCCACACCAAATATACTATGTTTTTGTTTAATGCCAACAGTCTGTCCTGATCTGAGTAGAGAATTCAGCGAACCAAGCTTTGGCTAATATAGGCTTAGGATGTATCCCATCGAGGTAAAGCTGATAATTAATATACTGCTTGCGCGGTTTATCTTTGCCTCTTTTAACCTTTTTACTTGCTTTTAGGTGTAGGTTGAGAAGTGGTGATCGTACTTTGAGGGAGGCGTTCAGTTCTTGAATTTTCTTATTTATTTCGACTATCTGTTCATGTAAATCTTGTTCTTGATTGATGTGATCTTCAGTAGACGGGTTTTTAGCTCGAGCGTTCCATTTGGTTATTGAATAGTGTGGCATTTCGACGAATGTTAATCTGGAGTTTGGGTATTGTTGAACTAGTGTTTGAAATTTTTTAAGATCTTCGAATATATTGTTAGCTGCTGAAGAATGTTGGCTTGCCAATGATATAGTACGGTCTTTATATTTTGAAGTCAGGTCGCATGTTTCGAGCCAAATGTATAAAATGTATATTTCCCAATTCTTTTATTTTGTTTTTGATGTTTCTCTCCAGCCAGTGTAGGGAGTTTTTGATGTTTGCTCTACTTTTATTCCACCATATAATTTGTTTGTCTTCAGGATGATAGACTTGGGTCTTTAGATAGACCCCTTTACTGTTGGAGAGTACGACGGGTGTTAATGATTTTATGCCAACTGAGGGCGGTCTTGATTTTTGTAAATAGTCTCGTATTTTCTTCTCTGACATGAGCGGATTTCAAATGAATTCACCGCGGTTAGGGGATAGGCGGGCGTGTATTTCTATTAATATTTATTATTGAATTGTTTACTTTAGAAGTTTTTGTTGATGTTTGGCCTATATTCAAAATGGCGCGGGAAACTTCGTGGTGAGTGGTCCTGCCTACCGGCTCGTTGTTATATACTGGATAATGATAATTTAGGAATTGTGTGTGGGCAATTCGAATGTATTGTGTTAGATAGTGTCAATTGTCTATTTTTTCACTGAAGCATGAAGTTGGCGGGCCCCTTCTTAGGGCAGTCAGTGCCCCCCCCCCCCCCCCCCCCCCCCCCGCAAGTGAAAAATTCTGGATCCGTGACTGCTGACTCTCTTACATCGCCCCCTGTTTTTTGTATTAAGCCGTGTTCATGCTCTTAGATAGATTAGAAGATGAAGGGATATGGAGTAAATGTGCATGGGACAAATCGCACAATACATATAAACAAAGGCAAAATGTAATTATCAATGAACAATTATCAATCGAAATCGAAATCGGTTGATGCAATCCTGACTTATCGTACGATATAGAAGTTGTTTTATACTTGTTTTAAGGTTACTTTACTGCCTTTTGAAAATACCATTTGGAATGTTCATTGATTTCGCTATTTCTAATCTTTTTTTAAATCAGTTCCTGTTGGTGTTTCCTTCACAATATATCTTGGTGAATGTAGACCTGAAAGACATTTACTAACAGGTTTTCAACTGACAAATTGCACGTGGTGGATAAAAAAAAAGAAAGATATGGGTATGTGTCCATGAAATAGCAACCCAACAAAACAAAAACTTAAAGAAATCTAGACATCAAACTAAGTTATCCATCCTATACCTTGTATTGTTATGTCATAAATAGATTCTTTTTTTATTTCTTTATCTCTAAAGGATGTTTTGAAAAAAGAGGCGAAATACCAAAGGGACATTCAAACTCACAAGTCGAAAATAAACCGACAACGCCATGAAAAAGGTAAAAAACCAAAAGACAAACATCAGTACACAAAACACAACATAGAAAACGAAAGACTGATGAGCAAGACGAATCCCACCTAAAAACCGGGGGTGAACTAAGGTGTTCCGGAAGGTTAAGCAGATCCATCTTCGCATGTGCATTGCACCCATCGTTACCAAAACATAAGACTTAACCTCTAGAATTATTTTTAGCTCACCTGGCCTAAAAGGGCTAAGTGATCATGAGCTTTTCTCATCACTTGGCGTCCGACGTCCGTCGTCGTCCGTTAACTTTTACAAAAATCTTCTACTCTGAATCTATTGAGCCAAATAAAACAATACTTGGCCTAAATCATCCTTAGGGTATCTAGTTAAAAAAAATATATCCGATGACCCCGCCCATCAAGCAAGATGGCCGCCATGGCTAAAAATAGGACGGGGATGAAAATGGCTTATATATATATCTCTAAAACTAGAGCATTTAGAGCAAATCTGACACGTTAAAATGCTCGTCAGGTTAAGATCTATCTGCCCTGAAATTTTCAGACGCATCAGACAATTTGTTGTTGGATTGCTGCCCCTGAATTGGTAATTTTAAGAAATTTTTTGCAGTTTTTGGTTATTATCTTGAATATTATAATACATGTAATAGACAGAGATAAACTGTAAACAGCAAAATTGTTCCACAAAGTAACATCTTCAAATAAGTCAACATGACCAAAATTGTCAATTGACCCCTTATAAGGAGTTATTGTCCTTTAAAGTCAATTTTTCACAATTTTTTGTAAAGTTTTGTAATCTTTTACAAAAATCGTCTCCACTTAATCTACTGGGCCAAATAGAATTAAACTAAGCCACAATTTTCAATATGGTATCGTGATTGAAAAATGTATCCAATGGCTCTGTCATCCAACCAACATGGTCGTCATGGCTTAAAATAGAACATAGGGGATTACTATAGAAGTCTAGTGGAAAATTGTATAAAACAATTTCAAATGGTCACAACTTGAAAACTAATTTAAATAATGATAAGGGGTCTTCAGTAACTATCGTTAGACTACAATGGGATTTGACCTGCTTTAAATTTTAATTACAATAGCTACTGAAGACGTCTTATCATCATTTAAATTAGTTTTGAAGTTGTGACCATTTGCAATTATTTTTTTACCATTTTCACATAGACTTCTATAGTAAACCCCTATGTTATATTTTTAGCCTCGGCCATGGAGATCGCCATAGCTAAAAAGGAAAAGACAGACAAACAAAAGTACACAAAACAGAACATAGAAATCTAAAGACTACGCAACACGAACCCCACCACTTGGTGTGATCTCAGGTGCTCTGAAAGGGTAAGCAGATTCTGCTCTACATGTGGCACCCGTTGTGTTGTCCATGTTTGTACAAACCCGGTAATAAGTCTAATTCGGTAGGCGTGACATTCGTGAAAAGTAGACGGGAGTGTAGTTACGACATTAAGAACTTATCCGCTATCATCTATGAAACGGATATACCATAACAGTCAACCAAATCGTGATGGCGTCCTTAAAATTTACGAAGGAATGATCATTTCAACGTCACCATTTGGAACTTTTGGTTTAATAGCTTCCTTGTGAGCAGCAACCCTCTATCAAGGAGTCATGATAGAAAATACAAGCCCATAAATATCGTATCAATTGGGAGATATATACTCTGTATGCAGGCGTGGGGTTGTTGCTACATAGACATGGAAAGTTCACAATTGGGAAGCTTAATCATCTCTTTTGTCGTAAAGTTTTGTTTTCAACCGATATGCAAATCATATAAGAATTATAAACAAATCTATACTATTTTTGAAGTTCTGTTGTCTGATTTTACATTTAGCTATCTTTAGAATTCTTTATATATATATATATATTTATCTGACTATTTGTTCTCATGTTATTTGCACCTTTTGTTAAAGATTATGTATCAGAATTTTTTAATATTGCTACAGGGGTTAAACAAGGAGACACCCGGAGCCCCACTTTATTTAATGTCTTCATAAATGATATTGTAAAAAATTTGAGGGAAATTATTCAAGTCCCCTTAAGCTTATAAATAGTAAGGTGGGATGCCTCCTTTTTGCGGATGATCTTTTGATCCTGTCAGAATCGAAAGAGGGTCTTCAAAACAGTTTAAATAATGTTAAATTATATCGCAACAAATGGCAACTCTCTTTAAATACAAACAAAACAAAATCCATGATTTTCAGTCAGTCCAAACAAAATGGTGAAACATCACATATTTACTATGAGAATGAAGCCATAGAGAGCGTATCAGAATATTCATTTTTGGGAATGTTGATAAAATGTAATGGAAATTTATCACAAAGTACTTTAGAGCTGACAAAAAAGGGGGAAAATGTATTTTTTGCAATAAAATCCTATACTGAATCATTGAATAATCTACCTATAAAAGTAGCAAATAATCTTTTTGATTCTTTAGTAAAACCAATTATGACCTATAATTCAGAAGTAACATATTTGGATACATATATTTCTTTTCATAGAGCCAAAAACAGAGCCGTATCTTCAGGAAAACAAATTAATCAACTTGATTTTACAGACAAACCCCCTATTTAAAATATGCATCTTAAATTTTGTAAATCTACTCTAGGAATAAGAAAAAATGCATCCAATTTAGGAGCAAGCGTTGAATTAGGAAGATTGCCTATAGAATGTTTTCACAAACCCTTTTATATTTAGCTAGACTATATAATAATAATATTAATCCATTGATAAAGGAAGCTTTTTCTCTAGCACATTCTCTAGATTTGACTGGAACTTATTCATGGTATACATATGCAAAAAATATTGTTGAAGAGACTAATATTGACCTTAATATTCTTTCTACTTGTTACTAAGGACATAAAAGATGTAAATCAAATAAAAAAACGATATAAAGTTAAAAATGGAAAATAGATATGAAGATGTAATTGAAACTAAATTTGAAAACATTGATGATAAAAGTAAATTTTATCTATATTAAAAACTTAAAAAAGATTGCAAACTAGAATCTTATCTAAATATATCTAATTTTCAGATAAGGAGATTGATCACTAAATTTAGACTAAGTGATCACTCCCTCTTAATTGAAAAGGGGAGATATTTTAAAATCCTAAGAGAGGAACGACTTTGTCATAAATGTAAAATACTAGAGGATGAGAAACATGTTTTACTCTATTGTGATTATAATAAAACACTAAGAAATGCCTTTTTTGAACACATATGTACTGAAAATAATAACTTTAATAATTTAAATGAAGAAGAAAAAATTCATTATTTACTAAATCAATCAATGCCTTTACAAACAAAAAATGTTAGGATCCTGCTTGAAAAAGTAATTAGAACTGAGGGCAGGGGACTCTTAACAGCTTGTTTGTTATTATAAATTTTGATGCTGTTTTTATTGTGTATGTTTGATATGTATGTATATATGTTTATTGTGTTAATACATGTTGGTCACAAACTGTAAAGTTTATACGACAATAAAATATTTGATTTTGATTTGATTTGTTAATGGTGCGTTGTTCTTTAATGTTATATTTCGGTTAATAGCTGAACTTTCGACATTCGCATCGCTTTCACTAAAGCGCTTGTAACGAATACAAGAAATATTTTTTTCTTTGCCTTTGGCAAGCGGTATGATAGATGTTACCACTGTTTTCTCCTTTTCTTATCACAATTATAGGTAACCAATTGATTTATATCTACCTGTAGTATATATTTTGCTGTCATGCAGCATAAGTATCGTTAAAGGATACAGTCCTGACAAGTGTATACCGCTTTGTTTGTACAAAAAAATAATGTTTACAAATTTATAAACACTAAAACAAAGTTGTAAGAAAAAATAGCTGTTTACTATAGTATCTTACTGGAAAATCAATGTATTTCTTTCCTGAGTCCAAATAATTTATATAATGTCTTGAAAGGCTATGTTATTTTATTCCTTTGTGATGCCTTCCTGCAAGGATGGCGTAAAAGCAAAACTTAAAATAGCCTTTCAAGACGTTGTAATTATTTGGACTATTTCTTTCCCTGATTCTGGACCTGACTGTTAGAAAAGTAACCCTGCATGCACTTCTCTATACATGTATCTGTAAAAGGTAAACCTGCATGCACTTCTTTCCCAACAGGGTTACAATTTCCTACCTACATGTACTACTTGCGAAAAGAAAGTAAACTCATACCGTGTCAACTTGTACCACTAAAATTCAACTTGTACCATTGCAAAGTTGTTTCGAATGAGAAACATGTATGATAAATCAAGTAACTAGGTTAGACATTTTTTTTAAAATCCTAGCTGCCCTGTCAAGTTTTTAGTGTAAAATCAGGACAGCTGGCTCAAAAACACTAATTGCCTTGCTTGACTCGAGCGAGTCAAGGTTGCCCTGATATTTACCAGGAAAGGATTGATTAAGATTCTTTGTTTTCTTTTTGGGATATACATGTAACTCTATAGGGTTATTAGAGAAAAATAACATACATGTACATCAAAGAACTGTCATAACATATGTATGTTACTTGTTTCAAAGGGCCAATATACATCATTTGTTTTGTTAAAATGTATACAAGATCTATTGATATTATTATTGTCTTTATGCATATATACTAAACTATAGAAAGATTTAACAGTTCATACATTAGTTTGCCAATCAGGCAAAGAACAGCTATGTTATTACAGAAAAATATGCCTGTAATAACTAAATAGTGTTATTACAGCTTCACTACATCACTTCAAAGCCTTTGTTCAGACATACGTGTACATCATGCTTAATCACAATGTATTTTAATTTTTTTGTAAGAATTAATGATCAGAGCATGTAATGAGGTTCTGCGCAAGCTTCCAGTAATTCTGAAGTGTCTCATATAATAAGTGACATGCCTTTAATAACTAAGCCTTGTTATTATAGCTATTAGTTTTATCCCTGAAAAGCCCTGTCTCATTGATTTACCATGGTTGATGAAATATGTATTAACTTAATTTGAAAATTAGTTATCAAGGCTATGTATTTAGTTGCTGCGCAAAGTTTCAAGTATTCCCAAGTACCCACTAAAAATTAAAATATTCATGATCTGTTCAACAAATAATAAACACATGTTACTACAGATTTAGAAAACTTAAGGAATAAAGAGTAGACAACTCAAGAAAGTCTCTGTAATAACACATGCAAGATATTTTCTGTAATAACCCTATAGAGTTATATCCCTGACTGTTTATTCTGCACTTTTTGTTCATTATTCTCTATGTTGTAACCTCACCCAGAAACATATGTTTTACACGCAGTACATGTATGCGATATTCTCTACTCCTTGATAGAAATAAAAGAAAAAATTAGGTAATTAGAGTAGATTTGGTATTTAAAAATTAGTTTCATGAAAAGGTCATAACATTAGTCAGTCATGTGTCAGTTGAATATTTAGATTTGGTAAATATTTGTTCAGTTTAAAAAAAAAAGGATAATTGGAAAACCTATGAATGTAGATACTGTAAATCTATCTTTTGTCTTCATTATATTTTCAGGTTTTGCTAAAGAAAAATGGCAGAGTATGGTGCAGATTCTGGAGGTAGAGTCAAGGTATTTATACATGTACATTCTACAGTCAGGGGTACTACTTGAACAATTAATTTTTATTTACTTAAAGAAGTAATTATAATATACTTATATAAGTAAGTTTGTAGGATACTTATACAAGTGTATTTTATTTACTTGTATAAGTAAATTATTTTTTGGCCTAGTTATGTCCCTTAGACATTCAGATTTTTTTACTTATACGAGTAAAAAAGTCATCCTATTTTCTTTTCTTGAATTCTTAGAACTTCTTTGCTCTTACAGAATTTTGAATTGTCTGTCCTTTGCAGATGTCTTTACTATTCATTTATGTGTAATTTCATGGACAATGAAAATCTCATTTGTCTGTTATCTTTAGAAAAATGCTCATTTACAAGCCCCCAAGGAGCAATTTTTGAAGGCCTTGCGCAAATACTTAAGATCTTTGCTCAATTAGTTTCTTTGTTGAATTAATGAGATGAAACATTGAACTCTTATCAAAAATTATGAGCTAACCTGAGAAAAATTGTTAAAGGAATGATTTTACATCTCAAAACTTGAGAATTTTTGTGGGATTGTAAAAAAAATTTACTTATACAAGTAAATTTTTTAGAAAATTAAGGGGAGATTATTCAAACATTATAATTAACTTATATAAGTATATTTTATTTACTTTCTATAAGTAAATAAAGACTACTTGTACAAGTAGTACCCCTGACTGTTCTATACAAAGTAGCTCAAATTTAACACTTCGCAATATTGTAATATAAAGACCTTTGTAGATCATGTCTTACATTTATGATAAACAAGCACAACAAGTAGGAAAAATAAAAGAAAATGTGAAGGAGAGGCTAAAGATGCGAAAGGGCCATTCAGACTCATATAAGGCGAAAAATAAGTTGACAACATGAAGTCTGTCTGGTAACAATTAAACTCTTTATAGATACTGTGATTAAATTTTGAAGGCCAGAGACAGACGCTTTATCTTAAAAAGACTCATCAGTGACACTCCAATCAAAAAAATTAAAAAGCCAAATAAAGTAAGAAGTTGAAGAGTATTGAGGACTTTAAATTTGGAAAGACAAGGTTTTGCCAAATACAAGACAAGAGAAAAGATAAAATTAATAATGTCTTGTTACAAAACAGAAAATGATTCATGTCAACTGTAATGTCTGATAGGAAAAGTATATCACTAAATTCCTACATTATTTGTATATAATTTAATTTTGGATGTAACGCGTCTTCCGATTGGCGGACGTTGTTTTGTTTATCAGCTCATAGACATAATTTTGTCATGTGACCTTGACGTCATCAACGTTTTTTTAAAATGGAATTAAGAATTAAATCATAAGAAATGACTGTAATATTTTTTCTGTCTATTCGAAATAACACACGGGTTATTCAGTGTGCACCACATTTTTGATGTTATTTCTTCATAGACAGAAAAAATATTACAGTCATTCCTTAAATGAATTATAATTGATTATAATCAAAAGTCAAATCTTGATAAGGGCCTTGTGTCATGTTGACTATTTTTATTACACATTGTCATAATAGGATGATCGATCCGTCATTTGTCCGTTCACAACCATAACAATGTTCACTACAATACAAAGAATAAAAATATATGTCTGGAAACAGAAAATAAAGGACATTAATTTTTGTTAACAGATGGAAAAAGAAAATAGATGTAAACTTTATGACTATTGCAGGGAGTTACAATCGTGAAGCCCCTTATTTATGGGAATATTGCCAGATATTTTGGAAAGAAGAGGGAGGAAGATGGCCACACCCATCAGTGGACTGTATATGTTAAACCATTTAAAAATGAGGTTTGTGAATTAGTCATACAGAGAAATAATCTGATTAAGAAATCTATTTCAGTAGATAATTTGTTATAGCAGATATGCAGTTTATTCTCATTGTCTTTAACTTGGTTTACTCCAATTTTTGATTGCATTGAAATATTTCTTGGGTCCCGATGTTGAAACATAGTAATTTATTATGATTTACTCTGTTTGAGTCTAGTGTGGAAGAGTTGAAATTTTGTTTGATTTAAACTAAATTTTTATAAAAAAGAAGATGTGGTATCACTATGATTGCCGATGAAAGATTTCTTCACAAAAGACCAAATGACACAGAAATTAACAACTATAGGTCACTGTACAGATTTTAGTGTGAAAGTCTAATAAACAATGTTAATTATGTTCGATAATGTCAAAATTTTTCACATGTCAAAAACAGTTGCCTAGATTAGGCTATTGTCATTGGATAGAAAATAAAAATAACTCCATGTGTTTGTTTTCAAGACACAAGCAGTTTAAACTTAGAAATTTTAAAGGCAAAAAAGTGTATGAGTTTTACTCTGAATTGAATAGGAGTAAAATAGTTGAATTGGATGAAAACTATTTTTAGAAATAAAATGAATTTCTAAAGATTTCACCAGATATGTTTTTGAAATGCATTGAATAAATAGAGCATGACTAGGTTAGCCTGACTTGTTTGGTTCACTTTTGATATCTATTTCTCTTTTCAGGACATGTCAGCTTATGTGAAGAAAATAAATTTCAAACTACATGACAGTTATCCTAATTCAAACAGAGGTAAATTTAATGTTTTAAATTTTAACCATTACTGGTAATTCAGAAGTTATAATGATTCTGCATTTAAGTGATGTGATAGGTGATTTATATACAAAAAAAGATGAATTTTTTTAATTTATAAAAATGCTGCATAAATTTATTTAAGAAAAATTTAAAGGTTATGTGAAATGACATTTGTTGTGGAGAAGATCAGGGAAGGGCTAATTTTGGCATAAAATTCGAAGACATCTGATGAAATATTTTTGACATTTTTTAAGCACTTATCATGCTTATATGTATACTTAATTCGATTCAATTGGTTATTGTAAAAGATATGGACTGACTTGGTTATTAAAAACGCTTAAATTCAAGCTTAAATATGAAAAATCTATAAAATATGCCATTTCATGTCACTTTTCAGATGGTTTTTCTTTAAAATGGAATTGGCCACAGTCGTGTTCACTCTCAACATTTATATATCATATGTTATGTATTATCTTAAAATACAACATATATTTAAATAGTAAGACTGACACAAGTGCAGCCAATTCCTTTTTAGACAAAAACCATCTTAATAATAGCACAAATGTTTAAATTGTGAAGATATCAGTATTTTTGCATGAAATAATGATGCTAGTACCTGATGCATGTTCGGTGTATTGTCAATAATAGCCAATATTTATGTAACAAAAGTATTCTATTTTCCAAAAAATAACTAAGAATTTGTAAAAATGCTATCTTTTGGGGCCAAAAAGGGGTCTTGCCTGTCCAACTCATTTGTATTTAGAATTAAAAAATCATTGTTTACAAAAATAGTACAAAAGTCAGTGCATATTAGACAATTTATCTCTGGTTGTCAATTAAACTTCTGTAATTGTTAAAGATATGACTAAGCACCAACAAATAGATCCTAATTTCAATGCATTTCAAACTTTATAATTGTACTTAAATCATCCATAATGCTCTAAGCTACAGTGCACCACAAATTTTGTACATATGGAAATATTTACAAGTTGTGTACATGCCTACAAAACATACATGCATGCATACTAAAGTAAAATTGAAATTAAAATGAAACCTAAACAATTAAGCACCAGTATCACTGGGTTTATGATAAGGGCTATTCCATTAATATCCCTACAACCAAGAACCATTTTTTAGATAATTTTGCATAATGGTAATAGACACATACTGAAAAAAGACCCATGACCCACATTCAATAATTTAACTTCCCTTCCTACCCTCCCACATACATTTTAATGGAATAGCCCTTAGAGATAAAAAAGCAAATTGTGCTTCACAAAAACTGGTCACATAACTCCTCCAGTGCAAGTTTTTATTTATTTCATCAATTAACAATGGAAATTTTGAAAATAGACAAAATAATCTTTAACACATACCCAACAATTTTGTTAGTTTCTAGTGTAATTTCTTTCCTTTATTACTTATTTATCCATTTACAACAGAAATATTGAAAATAAACCCAAAAAAATCACATGACCCATAATTATTCTATTTCTAGTATAATTTATGTTTGATATCATAAATTTTTTTTTTCAGTAATAACAAAGCCTCCGTATGAAGTAACAGAAACAGGATGGGGAGAATTTGAAGTGGTTATTAAGATTTATTTCAACGATCCAAATGAAAGACCTGTAAATATTGACTTTAAAGCAAAAGGACTGTTTCATAAAAACATACATAAGACCCTGGGAATGCACTTCCAAATCCCATCTTTGGGGGGGGGGGGGGGGGGGGGGGTTGATTTGTACAGTGAGGGTAAAGAGAAATCCTAAATTGCATCTTTAGACAGTAACATCCATTTTCCAAGTTGCCTCCCTGGGTACTGTGTATGTTTAAATGGAACAGTCCCAAGAATAGATTCAAAATTTATTTCACTGATTACTAGTTGAGTTAGCAGTTCAAATAATAATTGTAATTTTGCTTTAGTCACTCACTCTAGAATTTTATACTCACTTATCATTTTATTTCTTTTGTAGGTGACATTGTATCATCTTTTGAAGCTCTTCCAGAGTGAAACAGACATCATGTTGGGAAAGAAATCATTAGTCGTAGAATTTTATGATGAGCTGGTAGGTCAATAAAAATTGATAGGATGTACATATGTGGTTAAAGGCAAGGGAACGCATGATTTAAGTTCCTGAGATGAAAAACTTTTTTTTTTTTTAATTTTTATTATTTTCAAGAATTACAACAAATACAACACATCAAACATACATACAGTAATATTAGCAATACATTTGAATATCTATTATTTATGACAATAAACATTGTTGAAAATTCAGTTTTATATTTATATGAAAAGAGAACATAAATATGGAAGAAAAGATAATTTGAGTTAAATGTTTATGTACCACTGTGTGGTACATGAGAAGGCTAAAGTATTTTATGAAAAAGGAAGAGGTTAAAATATCCTGTAAGATTTTCAGTACATAATAATTTGTGCTATTAGATACAATAATATATTATGTTAGTTTTGACAATGATTATCTGTAAATAATAAATGACAAATTGAATTATAAAAATAATTCTTTAAATGCATTCCACATGGTATCAAAGTGGTCTTGTCTCTTATTTTTGACTGCCATTATTTTTTCTAAATTGTACATATATTTTAGCTTTTCTTTAATGGCACTGAGTGAAAGATCTTTTGAAAAACATCTACTGTTGTATATATATTGTTTCATGTATAGAAAAATCAAATTATATGGGTTACCTTTTCGAACTTTTGATATATCTCCAAAAATAAAATTTAACTTATTCAATGGCAGGCTTACCCCACCAGATAAAAACCAATAATCAACATGATCAATATCTTGTAAAAAATTTTGGATAATCTCACAATTCCACAGAATATGTTCAACAGTTTCATTTTCTAATTTACAAAAAGTACATAAAGGGTTATCAATAAGTTTGATTTTACATAAAACTTTATTTATGGCAAGAATTCTGTGGTTGATTCTGTACTGAAGCCACTGTAGTTTAGTGTTGACAGTGACTATAAAAGGTAGTTTGAATATATGTTTCCAAATGAGATCTTCGCCTTCAATCTTGAAATGCATCTTCGCCTGAGATGAAAAACTTGATGAAACCATATGGTCTTCAGTGATCAGATAGCAAGAATTCCAAAAAGAAGTGTGTTATATCTTCAAATTATGCTTTCAGCTCTGGTCGATTTTCTCATTTTCACAATTCACCTGTCCACCATAAAAACACAAACGATGTACATATATCATGCTGATTAATTTATTGATGGCTGCTTTATTTTCATTGGCAAATATTACCTGAAAATTTTAGGACGATAACAAAAAAATATATATAAATTTACCCTGCTTTGTACAAAACCAAAGTCTTCAAGTGCTAGCCCTCAGAGGAATAGTTCTCATGGAAGATATGACAGAATTTCTGACACTAACATTAATTTGCAGATTTGTTTTTTCGAAAATTGTGTTTAAACAACCTGTCATAATGTGCTGATCATACAAAACACTGGCATTTTGGAATATGGGTTTTGCTCATTGTTGAAGGCCATACAGTAACCTATACCTATAGTTGTTAACTTACATGTCATTTGGTCTCTAGTGGAGTCTCATTGTCAATCATACCACATCCTCCTATTTCTATAACCACAGTAAGAAAACTATTATTTTCAGCCAAGAATCTTTTGAGAGTGTAAGAAATCAACTGTTGAGAGATTTTGTTGTAAATTTTGAACATTGAAGAATTTAAATGTCATATTATGTCAATACTAACATTTTCACCTAAATTAGTTATTGTCATTTGATATGGAATTCAATTTAGTTACTCATCTTTTCTACTTTTTTTTCTGAAAGTTATATTTGCTGTTTGAATCAGAAAGAGGTACGGTAAATTCTAAAATTTACATATGCATATTTTTATTGCAATTTTTAAAAAAGCAACAAAAATGTGAGATTTATTATTGCGATTTCAATAAAACCTGCATACAGTTATATGTATAAGATATTAGAATGCAAAATCTGAATATGGAGGTACTCACCCAGTCAATTATTTGTATTAATAAAGACCTTGCAATAATTTCTGAATTTACAGTGTTTGTTTAATAATGTATTTGTTATTTTAAATTTTAGGTGTTTCAAGATCCTACTGTCATGATGCAAAACATACTACAAAGTCTCCGACCTATTTCTATGGGGTCATATAAACATGAAACTGATTGTAAGTAGAATAAGAAATAATTTGACACGTCTTAGAAGATTTAAACATAAATAATTTAACAAAACCACCATCACTGTCAGAGAATCCTTATAAGGAGGATGTATGAATAAAATGTTGAGAAATTTTTACTAAGAGTTAGATATTACATGGTTTCAGACATCTTGTAAAAAAGCATGTAGGATAGTTTATAAAATACCTATGGTAAGTTACAAGTTCCTGTTTGTGTAGAATAAGGTTTTCCATGCTTTGAAGATTATTGAGGACACAATTCTATGTTTCAGCTTCGTCGAATTCGCATAAACAATCATTGCACAAGATTAAACTTTCGTTTCCTCATTTTACAACTACCTATGAATTATGTGTAATTGTGTTGCTACTTTTTATTGTATTTTCTAACCACAAGTAGACAACATTTTGAAGCAGAAAACGTGTACTGTGCCCTTTTGGAACTTAACCTTGAATCCATTGACACATTTTGATAAGGAGGTAAATCTCTTGAGCTTCTGGTCACATTACAAACAAAATTAGATTTGGCCGTCTTGTTTCCAGAAGGGACTGGAAATTAAAAAAAATGTAAAAAAAAAAAACATTTGGAGTTGTCTGGGTTTTCAGTAGGTCGACAGGCAAGTACAAACAAGCTATATTTCTATTTTGGTTCCTATATCAGAGAATTGCATAATGGGATTTTTGAAAATAAGTTTATGGAAATTTTTAAAGGGTGTATTGCTGATCCCCTTTACTGGCTTTTTTCTCCACAAAAAATTTAATAACTTCAAACTTTAACATGTGCATTATGATGAGAACTTTCGAATATAAATGCAAAAGTAGACTTTACCGCATTTTTGCGCCTGTCCCAAGTCAGGAGCCTCTGGCCTTTGTTAGTCCTATATCATTTTTAATTTTAGTTTCTTGTGTTTAATTTGGAGTTTAGTATGACGTCCATTATCACTGAACTAGTATACATATTTGTTTAGGGGCCAGCTGAAGGACGCCTCCGAGTGCAGGAGTTTCTCGCTGCATAGAAGACCCATTTGTGGCCTTTGGCTGTTGTCTGCTCTATGGTCGGGTTGTTGTCTCTTTGACACATTCCCCATTTCCATTCTCAATTTTATTGGATCCATATTTTGGATTACACGGAAAATATTCATATTGCTTCTATATCCATTACTTTTTCAGTTGAGGAAAAGAAAGAAAAAACAAAGGGGAACATAGTATCAGCAAAGAACAAAATCCAATATGAAATTCAAGAATTAAATGAAAGACTAAAACAGAGAAAAGAAATGATACAAAAACTGAAAGATGAATTATCAAAAGTAGATGAACATATAAACATAGAAGAACTTGTAGAGGCTGTTACATAATTTAATGTGAATCTAATTACCACTGGGTGTGTTCAATATTATGACAGTCAAATGCATGAGTTTTGACGAAAGATTGTGTAAATTATGGATGTTCTATGTTGTCTATTGTAAATAGATAAATGGATTTAGGAAATAAGACATGAAGATAAGGAGGAACTGCTTTCAAACAAATCAAAACATTGAAAAAGAATATATTTGATCATTTACAAATGTTTGAGACAATTTTGTTGACTTCATATAGGTTTTTTTGTGTCTCAGTTGATCATATCTGGCAATAAAGAAAAAAAAAAGAAAACAAATAATAGTTTAAACAATTGCCATCACAAGATACCATTCAACTGTAAAAATAGTATGCAATACCAGCCTTATGTTAGCAATAGATAATCTGTAACTGTTCAAACTTTTATACTATCAAAAATTGTTGATATCATGGTCCATCTGTGTGTAATTCATAAAAATAATTTATGAAAAAATACAAGAAATCACCAGTCTCATTTTAATCAATTGTAATTGACTAGAAAAGTCAGTTTACCTTCTCAAGGTCTATTGTTCTTTGTGGGCACTCTGACTTCCGCCGCACTTTTTGCCAATAGATCTGAAAGTTGAGTTAATCACCAACAAATCAATCTTGAAATGCATCTTTTCAAAACAATATTTTGACAAAGAATGGAGATTAATCGACACAGATGGACATAAAAAGCATGACATTGTTGCATTGTTACATGTCATCAATTTTCTAAGATTTTTAAGTATCACATCCTGTTTCTGATCTAAAAAATTATTAGCCAGTAGGATCATAGGGAAAATGTACAAACTGCTGATAAATAATTAAACATTGGCTATTGTTCTGTTATAATTGTTTGCCCTACCGTACTTTAATTCTCAACAAGTCATTTATGGCAGAATAAGTCTTTCTTGCTTACAGGGTTATTCTGGCTTACAACATGATATTGCTCCTTAATTCAACAATACAAATCCAGAGTTGCACCAGTTCCACAACTACCAGTGGTAGATTAAAGTAAAAATCTATAAGAATTCTAATCTATTATTGGCATAAATGATTAAACAGTAATACAGTGTCTGGCTTAAAGATTTAAAATAGGTAGTTATTACCTGTGTCGCCGGAGTTGAGAATAGGTCTAGTTAAACTCCACTCATTAACACAGAGGGTGTCTAGTTTGTGTCTTGCTAACCTCCACAACTTTCCTTCAGCATCAATCAAACTATGCACAATGATGGCAATACTCTTAAGAGTGTGCACCTCAAATTTTAAACAATTTATTTTCAGGATTCCCATATATGGCAGTTTTGTCATTGGATGCTACTTGTAACCCAAATGATTTTCCTTAAACATTATATCAACTTTACACATAGGTTGCACACATATCTAGATTAAAGATGTTTTCTATTATTCTGGAAAGAATTGACTTATATAAAGTGGTTTCCTTTAAAGCAACTAAATACAAACTTTAACTTGTAAAATATGCAAAACATTCAAAGTCAATAGACAGATTTGGCAGAGCCAAATAATCTCCATGGATATGAGATGTGTAAATTCCAATACATCTGCATACCAATTATTATTGACCTACGACTGACCTTATTACAAACTAAAATATGTAAAACATATATTAGTTTGTAGACTAACCAAAAGTTTTAAAGTCAAAAGATTATGACTGAGGGGGCAAGTAAAAATATTCTCCATTGAAATGAGATGTGCCAATGATAATACAAGAGCATACTAACTATCATTGACCTTTATCTGATGGTTCCTTATAAACTGACCCAATCATAAACTAAGGACCAAATGCTACTAAAATTTACCTGTAGATGCCTGAGGTAATCTACTTTAAAAATTCTATCCAGGGATTTGATTCATCATCAAACATGGCCGTTGTTGCTAAAAATAAAACATAGGGGTAAACTGCAGTTTTTGCCTTATTTCTCAAAACCTAAAGAAGTTAGAACAAAACTGACAGAGTGAAATGATCAGTATGATGTTTTTGTTCAGAATTTTTTAGATATATCGAACAACGCAGATTTAGTGAAACCCCCAACTTGTCATATTTTTGGAAACCTTACTTTTTTTTTGTTATTATCTTGAAAACAGTTATATATAGGTAGAATTTCCAACAGTAAAAATGACCAGAACATACAATAAGATTCTCTTATAAGTCAACACTGTCGAATTGTCAAAGACAATTTTACCAAAATGTTGTCGTTTTGCAGAAATTCTGATCGATATAGAGAAACTGTACATAGCAAAAAAGTTCAGCACAATAAGATCTACAAATAAGTCAACATGTTCAAAATTTCAATCAACCTCTTATTTCTACTCACTTTTGCTTTCTATAGCGAAATTTTTAAGATAAAAAGATAGAAACTGTAAGCTGCAATAAAAGTCACATGGCTGAAATCACCAATTGACCCTTTATAAAAGTTATTGTCATTGAAAGACGTTTTTTGTCTGCGCTATTTGCATTTTTTTACAGCACTGGGTCGATACCTCTGCTGGTGGACTATCAGCCCCCGAGGGTATCATCAGCCCAGGAGTCAGTACTTCGGTACTGACATGATTAATAATAAACCTTTCTAAATTTGCCCGTTCATAAATTTTGAAATTATAAAGAAATTAAGGTTTCAACTCTCTCAAGCAAAGTTGGCCTTACAAGGATTTGGCTATTATTTAAGGTCATTTTTGATTATATAGCTCTTCAACTGTTTTTCGTTTTATACATCCTTGGCTTTCAAATTTTCGGCTTTGAGCGTTCCTGATGAAGGTAAATCCAGAGAAGCGCTTCCAACGCATTAAATTTATAACGTGTTGTTTTCATTTTTTTGCAGAAACTAAAAGAGATAGAGATCTCGAGAAACTGCTTATATGCATTCAAGAACAAAAGAATCAAAACTAAGAATTAGTCCTTCCTGAGCACCGTTCTTGCGGTTGCAAGTATTGAAAATATTGTTAATGTCAGATATTAAAACGTTTTACTTCTTGTTCTTTCTGGACCTTCAAATTAAAAAATAAAAGTAGGTCCAACTACCAAATGAGCGTTTTTCAATCTTGTATGTTCTTTCATATCTTAATAACATAAACGATACCGATTTTAATGCACTAGCTGAACATTTCGACAATTAATGTCTTCTTTCAATGCTCGAGGCCACACTATTTGAACATCCAAATTCTAATTCAAATGTTGAATGGCATATTAAACCAAAAAGGACCTAAAGTATAGCCAAATCCGGAGAAGGAATCACAGCTTTGCATCAGAGAATGTATTCCTTAATTCAAAATAATTTTCAACATTTTATAACAGCAAATTTTAATCAAACAATACTAGTATCCGAATTTTCATGTCAATACCGAAGTACTAGCTACTGGGCTAGTGATATTCTCGGTTCTAACGTTCACCAGCGGAGGTATCGACCCAGTGGTAGTAATAATTTAAACGGTACCAATTTTAATACACCACATGCGCATTTCGACAAATAACGTCTCTTCACTTCAAAATATTTGAATATCCAAAACCTATTACAAATGTTGAAGAGCAGAGAAAAATGTTTAACACGTTTAAAGCGATGTAAAAAAGAAAAGAATTAGGTATGTGGTATATGAGGCGTTGTGCACACAACATGCCTACTCACTAGTGTAATTATGGCAACATAGAACAGCTATCAATTGATATGCGTCATAAACAACTACAAATGCTTTATTGAATAATAAATAACCTTGAAGTACCACCTCCTCAAAGTGAGACCAAAGATTATACAAATATATCAATTTTTCAATATTTTCATTTTATTTAAATCGTCGAGGGGATACATGTATATGTATAGTGCTAAATTGCTGATATAGTTGTATTTGTGGGTCTATATGTACATTGAAAAAATAGGTAGCAATCCTATAAATTTGAGTAAGAAAACCAATTGGATATCGTATCTTCTACAGACATTGAAAGTTCTGGAATCTTCCTCATACTAGTACATATATGATTTTAAACCCGAGAGTGCCAGAGTGTCATCCCAAGTTTTCATTTCTCTATACTGTATTGAACTATCCCATACATCATGACTGTTGTTACATGTAATTATTATTATGCCTTTGAACATCTTATGGGTGTAATTTGTACTTAATGAAGTATATAATGAGTCTCATATTTTATTTTTTTAGTGGATGGAGTTCTGGCAGTGATTTTTTGGTTAAGAACGCGTACAGCTAAGGTCTAGGTACATTGCTCCATCTGTTGCTGTTACTGTTACAATTTCTTCCTCTCTTAGGAGCATTCCCAAAGTGATACATAAATTTTAAAATCTAAAGTTTATATACAAATTACGTCACTGTACAGTTATCCCACCATCCATGGTTATTGCGTATACTAAAAGCATTGTTCGTGACTTTTTATCATCTGGCATAGTTTAAGTCTATTTACATAGTGTTTATTTCTTTATTTTTGATCTTTTACTAGAAAAATTTCCTCACATGGAGTCAATAACAAAATGTCCTTGTTATTTGTTCAATGTCAATGAAATGTCTCATTTTATAAACGTTCCTTCACTTTCAACAGCAAAAAATAAGTTGCAGTAGTAGTTCTTCTATTATGAAATCATCATATGGTCCTTTCTTCACTATTATCTTTTTTCCATTTCAGGGTTTCTAATTCATTCTCTAATAATGTTTGGATTTCTGGTAAACCATATTTCTCTAATTTCTGAATAATTTTAATTATGTAGCTTTGCCCATTTTGTTTTGCAGAAATATTCTTCTTTTGTAAAAATATGAATGATAATAACTTAAGATCAAATGAATTTGTTCATTTAAATGAAAATTCTTGATTGTAAATTGGATTCCTGCATTGGAATTTGCTTACCTAATTAAAATTCTAGACCTTTTGTGATCTGCTATTTTACAATCCAAGATGGTGGAAGACACCCATACGACCTTAAAGGACCAGCTCTAAGAATGCATTCAAAAATTTATTCCACTAATTACTATTTGATTTATCTCACAAGAGGTTCAAATTTTTCAAAAGAATAAAGAATAAAAAATAAATAAAAAAATTCTTTTTTTTATAACTGCAGAATATAAACATAAGAGAAAGGAAATAACTTGTACCTCTCACGACAAACTTTTTCAAAGTTTAGCTCACCCACCCCAGCATTGTATATGCACTTATCAATTTATCTATTTTTTTGGTGACATTGTATCATCTTCTGAAGCTCTTCCAGAGTGAAACATACATCATGTTGGGAAAGAAATCATTGGTTGTAGAATGTTATGATGAACTGGTAGGTCAATAAAAACTGATAGGATGTATGTGATAAAAGGCAAGGTAACCCTAAAACACATGATCCTGGTTCCTGAGATGAACAACTAGATGTAATCATATGGTCTTCAGTGATCAGATAGCAAGAATTTCAAAAAGAGGTTTCAATAAAATTCGGATTATGCTTTCAGCGTGGGTAGATTTTCTCAATTCCATGCGAGTTTAATTATTGCGATTTCAGGAAAATTTGCATACAGTCATATGTATCTGATATTGGAATGTGAATTCTTAATATTGCAATACTCCCCTAGTCGCATTATTTGCATTAATAAAGACCACACAAAATTTTTTGAATTAACAGTATTTGGTAATGCATTTGTTAATTTACAATTTTAGGTGTTTCAAGATCCTACTGTTATGATGCAAAACATACTACAAAGTCTCCGACCTATTTCTATGGGATCATATAAACATGAAACTGATTGTAAGTAAAATAAGAAATAATCTGACACATGTCTTAGAACATGTAGAAGATTTGTGTATAAAATATATAAATACTGACATCACCGTCACTGTAAGAGAATTCTTACAAGGAGGATGTATGAATAAAATGTTGTTGTGGAATTTTTACTAAGAGTTAGATATTACATGACTGAAGTTGGGACATCTTTTAAAAAACCATGTAGGATAATTTATAAATTAACCATGGTATGATACAAGTTCCTGTGTGTGTAGAATAAGGTTTTCCATGTCCTGAATATTATTAGAGACACACTTCTATGTTTCATCATCGTCAAAATTTGTATAAACGATTTTTGCACAAGTTTACACTTTCGTTTCCACATTTTACAACTACATATGTATATAGTGTAAACTTGTAGCTACTGTGGTCTTTTTTCACCACAAGTAGACTACATTTTGAAGCAGACGACTTGTACTATGTCCTTTTGGAATTTTATCCCGATTCCAATGAAAATTTTCCATTAGGAGATAACATTCTGGAACTTCCGATCACATTAAAAACAAAATCATATCCGGCAGCCTGGTTTCTGAAATTAAAAAAAATGTAAAAAAAGGAATAAAAACTTTTGAGTTGTCTCGGTTTTCAGTGGGTGGGTCGGTTTAGGACAAACTATATTTTTATTGTGACCCCTATGTCATTGAATTGCATGATGAGATTTTTGAAAATAAACCAATGGAAATCTTTGAAGGTTGTATTACTGACCCCCTTCATTGACTTTTTTTACTGTTTATTCCGTGTAGAATGATAAAAAATACCCCATAAGAAATTTGATAACTTCAAACTCGGTTAACATATGCATTATGATGGGAACTTTTAAAATTTGTTCAAAAGACTTTTGATGCATATTTTGGACTTCACTGAAAATATTCATATTACTTTTATATTCATTATTTTTTCAGTTGAGGAAAAGAAGGAAAAAACAATGAAGAACAGTGTATCAGCAAAGAACAAAATCCAATATGAAATTCAAGAATTAAACGAAAGATTAAAACAAAGAAAAGAAATGATACAAAATTTAAAAGATGAATTATCAAAAGTAGACGAACATATAAATATAGAAGAACTTGTAGAGGCTGTTACATAATATAGTGTAAATCAAATACCACTGGATGTGTTCAATATTTGACAGTCAGAAGCATGAACTTTGACAAAAAGATTGTGGGAATAATGGAAGTTCTATGTAGTCAGTTGTAAATAGATGAATGGTTAAAGAAAAAAAGACAGCAAATAAATGAAGAACTGCTTTAAAACAAATCATCACATGAAAAAGAATAGATTTGATCATTTACAACTATTTGAGACAATATTGTTAACTTAATACAGGTTTTTTTTTATATCTCGTTTGATCTTATCTGGCAATAAAGAAAAAAAGAAAACAAATAATAGTTTTAACAATTGCCTTCACAAGATACCATTAAACTGTAATACGAGTATGCAATACCAGCCTTATGTACGCACTATTATAACATGTAGCACTACAAACTTTTATCTTATCAACTTACTATTGATTTCATGGTCCATCTTTGTAATTCATAAAAATAATTATGAAAGTACAATAAACCACCAGTCTCCTCTTGTCTTAATGACTAGGAATGGCAGTTTTCCTACTGAAGGTTGATGGTTCTTTCAGGACTTCCTCCACCATTAAAACTTGGCGCCACAATTTAGCCAATAGTTCTGAAAGTGAAGTTAATCACCAACAAATCAATCTTAAAATGCATTTGTTTCAAATTAATATTTCAACAAAGAAGGGAGATTAATTTACACAGATGGACATGACATTGTTGCATTGTTACATGACATCATTGCCTTAGATTTATTATGAGTATCACATCTTGTTCATGATCTGAAAAAATATTAGCCATAAGGATAAAAAGGAAAATGTACAAACTGCCGATAAATGATAAGACATTGGCCATTGTTCTGTTATAATTGTTTGCCTCTACTTTAATTCTCAAAGGCAACAAGACATTTATGGTAGAATAAGTCTTTCTTGCTAACAGGGTTATTCTTGCTTACAACATTGTATCACTCATTGATTCAATAATACAAATTAACTCAATTTATATATTAATATGAAAAAAGAGATATATGAAACAAAAGTAAGTCAAATAGGGGGTCTTCTGTGGCCAAGTGGTCTAAGTAGTCCAACTACTGTATCACTAGCCTGTCAACACTGAGGTTGTGAGTTCAAATCCCGCGCATGGCAGGTGCACTTGACTCTAATCTTAATTGACTAGGATTGTCAGTTTTTCTACCCAAGGTCAGTGGTTTTCTCTATGCACTCTGGTTTCCTCCACCAATAGAAACTGACTGCCACGAAATAGTACAATAGTACTGAAAGTGGCATTAAACACTTATTAATGCTTATATCATGTATATGCATTCAAGAACAAAAGAATCAAAACTAAGAATTAGTCCTTTCTGAGGACCTTCCTTGTGTTTGCCATTATTGAAAATATTGTTAATGTCAGATATTAAAATGTTTTACTTCTTGGTTCTTTCTGGTCCTTCATATTACAAAATAAATGTAGGTCAAACCACCAAAATGAGTGTTTTTCAATTTTGTTTATTCTTTTATATTTTGATAACATAAACGGTACCGATTTTAATTCACTAGCTGAACATTTCGACAATTAATGTCGTCTTTCAATGATCGAGGCCACACTATTTGAACATCCAAATTCTAATTCAAATGTTGAATGGCATATCAAACCAAAAAGGACCTAAAGTATAGCCAAATCCGGAGAAGGAATCACAGCTTTGCATTAGATAATGTATTCCTTAATTCAAAAAAATTTTCAACATTTTATAACAGCAAATTTTAATCAAACAATACTAGTATCCGTATTTTCATGTCAGTACGGAAGTACTAGCTACTGGGCTGGTGATATTCTCGGTACTAACGTTCACCAGCAGAGTTATCGACCCAGTGGTAGTAATAACATAAACGGTACCAATTTTAATACACCAGATGCGCATTCCGACAGTTAATGTCTCCTAAGTTCAAGATATTTGAGTATCCAAAATCTATTACAAATTTTGAAGAGCAGATAAAAATGTTTAACACGTTTAAAGCAATGTAAAAAAAAAGAATTAAGTATGTGGTATAGTAGGCGTTGTGCACACAACATGCCTACTCACTAGTGTAATTATGGCAATATAGAAGAGCTATAAATTGATATGCTTCATAAACAACTACAAATGCTTTATTGAATAATAAATAACCTTGAAGTACCACCTCATCAAAGTGAGACCAAAGTTTATACAAATATATCAATTTTTCAATATTTTCATTTTATTTAATTCGTCGAGAGGATACATGTATATAGTGCTAAATTGCTAATAGATTTGTATTTGTGTGTCTATTTATATATTGAAAAATTTAGTAGCAATCCTATAAATTCGGAGTAGAAAACCAATGAGATATCGTATCTTCTACAAACATTGAAAATTCTGAAATCTTTCTCATACTAGTACTTTTTATACCCGAGAGCATACTAAAAGCATTGTTCGTGACCTTTTATCATCTGGCATATTTTAAGTCTGTTTAATCTTTTACTTGAGAAATTTTCCTCACATGGAGTCCATAACAAAATGTTCTTGTTATATGTTCAATGTCAATGAACTTGTCTCATTGGATGTGAATAAATGTTCCCACACTTTCAACAGTAGAGTCCAAAATAAGTTGCAGTAGTAGTTCTTTTATGAAATCATCTTATGCTCCTTTCTTCACTATTTTCTTTTTCCATTTCAGGATATCTAATTCATTCTCTAATAATGTTTGGATTTCTGGTAAACCATTTTTCTCTAATCTCTGAATAACTTTAATTATGTAGCTTTGTCTATTTTGTTTTGCCATTTTTGTTGTCTTTCTAAAGTCTTAAATTCTAAAGTTTCTATGTTGTGAAGGAGATTACATGAGAAAGCCAATACTGATCTGCCTACTACTACTTCAACTAGCGATACTCCTAACAGTGAGCACTACATACAGCTGTAGTTCATCAGACCTTTGCTAGTGAAAAAGGGACACTAGAAGGCTTTCTTAATTTTTTGCTTTGACACCTTTGCAATGCAGGATCTGATAAACGAAAATCAAAGTTGAAATATATCTTGGGTATAAATCATGATTTAATCTAATTATAACATTTGTAACTATAATGAAGGCCATATCATTTAATTTGGAAAATCTATGTTCAATGTAAAACGGTTTCTCACTACCGCTCGACTTTACTGTTTTTGGTTGCACCTATCAACATGCAATAAGTTTCTTACAGCCTGTTGTCTACACAACAAAGATAACACTATCCGGCCTTTATCTTGTATACAATAGCTACATGTTGTTGTCAATTTTCTCGTTGAAAACAAACCCATCATGGAGGCTGCCATGTTAGATTGTCTTGGGTCAAAATATCATTTCGAATACTGTGGATTTATTTATTTTCGTGGGTACCAATTTTCGTGGTCTGAGGAAAAATTGTAATTTCGTGGATATTTGATTTCGTGGTTTTCCCAAAGTCTGCATACAAGCCAATATAAATTTTGTACTTTGTTGAACATTGAAATTCGTGGCTCACAAAATCCACGAAAATTGGTATCCAACGAATATTAATGAATCCACAGTACTATTGTTACACTTCATAGGTCTACGAATAATCCAAATTGTAGCGATGTTACGACGGAAATCTGACACAAGATTTTTGTTGTTGCGTAAACCCAATCTCCGGAGATTGACGTAAACCCACACGTTTGATTTGTACAAATCAAGCGTCTGGGTAACCGAGACTACTGTTTGTGTTATCTTTTGTGCAATTGTAAACATGGCACAAGCAGCTTCAAAGACGTGTGAAATCTGTGTAAGTGCACCCGGTTCATGCTATTGTTTAGATTGTGAACAGTGCTTTTGTGAAAATTGTAAATTATTACATTCAAGACAAAAAATATCCGCAAAACACGAATTTAAGAAAGCTTCGGATTTCATCCCGGAAGTACAATCCAAATGCACTGAACACAATGAATTCTTCTCTTTCGTTTGCATAGCTTGTGATGTTCCTGTTTGTGTATGTTGTGTAACCGAGAAACACAACGGACATAAACTATCTAAACTCAAAGACACCATTTCAGAGCTAAAATCCAAAATCGAACAAAAAGTTTTAACAAAGTTAAATAAAACGAGCGGAAACGTGTCCAAGTTGAAACAATACCTTTCATTATTTAATGGTCAAGTCGAAACTGTTATAAGATCAATAACAGAAGAAGGTAACAAAATAAAATCCATGGTTGACCAGTATACTGCTAACAAAATTACGTCCCTACAGGAACAAGCACGAAAAGAGAGCGAACGATTAGCAGCCATACTTTCTGATCATAAAATTGCATTTGAAAATGCATACGCTTCGAAAAACAGGAAAATAAGTATTGAGGAGAAAAGTCGACATGATGGAAGTTTGATAAAGATGTTGAAAACCCAGAATGAAGATATTGATAAAGTCGAGGTTTGTCCCCTTCCGAAGTTTCCGTCAGTTTCTTACATCCCAAAGTTAGTGAAAGACAGTGACATTTCACAACTCCTAGGGACGTATAGACTATGTAAAACTAAAACAGTGACAGAAATAAAAAGCGAAAGAAGGTCATCAGAAAGAGAGATATTTTACCAATGCATTAACTGTTGGAACCAAAAGATAGAAAAAGCCCATTCAGTTTATCCTTTCGATCATTTCTTTTGCTGTCAAATGCCCATGGAAAGAATAATATAGGAATAAACGTTTTTAAATAGCACAACGAACACAAGGAATTAACATCACCTTGATGGATGAACACGAAAGACAATGAGTTAATTACAAAAAACAAATACATATAATTTTATATTTTTTTATTATTGTACAAACAAAAATAGTGTATAATAGCTTGCTTAAAAACAAAACCTCTTATAATATATATATTTAGGAATTTACTCAACGTTTTGGTTAACATTTTATCAGTTACTATGGTTAATTACAACAACAAAAAAATACATGATGTGAGGGTCTGTATATTAAAACAAGGACCAATTATTTTTCACTCTCTATTTCGTACTCATTATTTTCTAAACACAGGCACTTGTGTTTAACTGATATACCTTTATGTTATATATAAAAGTATAAAGGTAAAATAAACGGGCCTGTGACTGTTAACCCCATCCGGACCTTCTGATAAAAATGACATAGATCAGCTAAACGTGTTATATACAGATTATAACATTGCATTTTTCATATCAGACCCCTTATCAGCCCTAGGTCATGATATCAGCCCGAGAGCCGACAGGCTCGAGGGATGATTTTGACCATGGGCTGATAAGGGGTCTGATATGAAAAATGACATGTTATGTTCTTTTTATCATATACTTCAGCAGAAGCCATACAGACAAGACAACTTTTTAAAACTTTATAAAATTGATTTAATTTTTCATTTCCTATCGTTAATTATCCATTTTAGATGGTGACATTCCCTTGTCACCATCTTATGGTGTTTATATATCTCAACTTGTACGATTCGCTCGTGTATGTAACAATGTTTTAGATTTTAACGAGAGAAATTTATGTATTACTGAAAAATTATTACACTAGGGTTTTCGATATCACAAACTAGTCAAAACATTTACTAAATTTTATCATCGGTATAAGGACATCATTCGTAAATATAGCTCAACATGCAGACTTCTTACACGTTCAGGTATTTCACATCCAATTTTTTATGGAAATATTCTTTATAAAGCACAAAATTGTCAGTATTCACCTCTGAAGCTAACAAAACCTTTAAATAGACTTATTAAGAAGGGATATAGTTACGATACTGTTGTCAGGTCATTAAAGATTGCATATTTTGGCGTTAATATTGATTCACTTATAGGGTCTTTGCATCGGCACTAAACACATTTATTTAAAAACCAGTTGTTGGCATGACACGGGTTATGTTCTTCTCATATATGTTATGATGGTATGATACTAAACCCCTAACGGGAAGGATTGTGCCTGATATTCATATAGTGAAGACATAATCTTTCAATCAGTTTAATTGAAGTCTGGAGCTGGCATGTCAGTTAACTGCTAGTAGTCTGTTGTTATTTATGTATTATTGTCATTTTGTTTATTTTCTTTGGTTACATCTTCTGACATCAGACTCGGACTTCTCTTGAACTGAATTTTAATGTGCGTATTGTTATGCGTTTACCTTTCTACATTGGTTAGAGGTATAGGGGGAGGGTTGAGATCTCATAAACATGTTTAACCCCGCCGCATTTTTGCGCCTGTCCCAAGTCAGGAGCCTCTAGCCTTTGTTAGTCTTGTATTATTTTTAATTTTAGTTTCTTGTGTACAATTTGGAGTTTAGTATGGCGTTCATTATCACTGAACTAGTATATATATTTGTTTAGGGGCCAGCTGAAGGACGCCTCCGGGTGCGGGAATTTCTCGCTACATTGAAGACCTGTTGGTGACCTTCTGCTGTTGTCTGTTCTATGGTCGGGTTGTTGTCTCTTTGACACATTCCCCATTTCCATTCTCAATTTTATATTTTTTTTGCAATTTTTAATAATATATTTTCCTGTTTCCTACTATTCGTTTTTATACTACTTAGTTATGTTTTTCACTAAAATGTACCACTGAGGTTTATTTTCCGGAATTTGCAGAATGACGTCGAAATGCTTTGCGATAACGTGAAAGAAAGGCATGCGATATTAACCGGAAGCAGTTGATATAAACCGGAAGCAGTTGATATATACCGGAAGCAGTTGATAACGAAAGTCATATCACACGGCTAAGACAATTCTTCAAATTTAATGAATAAATACATGTACAAATTAGTTTTATCAAGGGGTACAATTATACCATTATTTTCTATAAGTATATGATAAAACAATATATTCAACATTTGTGTAGGTCGAGCTATTTTTTTATTATTATTGTACTAACAAAAATAGTGTATAATAGCTTGTTTGAAAACGAAACCTCTTATAGTATATATATTTAGGAATTTACTCAACTTTTTGGTTAACATTTTATCAGTTACTATAGTAATTATCTCTGTGGTTTATTTGAATATATAAAATATTTATATAAACTTGCTAAAATTAGATTTTTTGTTCGCGTATTATGAATTTCTTAGATTATGTAACACTCATGCAGGAATTAATACAGCTGTTCTGGTTTTTTTTAACAACAAATAACCATATCAATAAGAGGAGTTGTGGGATTCATGTGGATTTGAATAGATATTAAGTGGAGTAGTCGGGCAACAATGGATACTTTCCTTTTGCATATAAAATAAAGATGGATCATTGGTGTTTACGTTCAGTGTCATTGATTGCATACATATCAGGAAATGAAAATGTTAATTTGATATGAATTTGAACCCGACTTTGCATTGTAACAGATTGGAGTTTGTAGCCTCCCTTGAACAAGCTCATTGTCTCACTTTTAGTGACAGTTTTTTTTTATATCAAGTTAAATCATTACACAATAGACAACTTTCGAGTTTGTTGCATTTTCGTCAAAAATTTTGGTTATAGTGAACACCATTCGTACGTTAAGGGGTATCGTCACTTCCTTCCCATGATGAGCGGTTGAAAAAATATGATGCTATATTGCACGAATTATTCGGCAAATTGAATTCTTATTATTGATAATCAGCACTGCTGTCATTAGGAAATTGTGATTAAGGATCAACGGAAGAAACATTTTTTTTCTAGTTTATCCTGCATAATGACTAACACAAATATGCTTGATGAACTTTAATAGTGCATGGATAATTGACGAACTTTTCCGGTGAAGCACATCAATCGAAAGTGGTCTATCAGAAAAAAATGAATAGAGGAATTTATAATTTTTGTATGCCCCCACCGTAGCGGAGAGGGCATTAAGTTTTACCCTTGTCCGTCTGTACGTCCGTCTGTCCGTCCGTACCAGCGTCCGTACGTCCCAAAATTGGTTTCCGTTCTCTAACTTTAGTTTGTCTCAACCAAATGTTATGAAACTTATACACTATGCTTATTACCACAAAACACAGATCAAGTTTGAATTTTGGTGGCGTCACTTTTACTGTTCTAGAGTTATGCCCCTTTACAAATTGAAAAATTGCTGAATTTTTCGTTTCCGTTCTCTAACTTTAGTTTGCCTCAACCAAATATTATGAAACTTATACACAATGCTTATTACCACAAAACACAGATCCAGTTTGATTTTTGGTGGCGTCACTTTTACCGTTCTAGAGTTATGCCCTTTACAAATGGAAAAATTGCTGAATATTTTCGTTTCCGTTCTCTAACTTTAGTTTGCCTCAACCAAATGTTATGAAACTTATACACAATGCTTAATACAACTAACCATAGATCAAGTTTGAATTTTGATGGTGTCGTTTTTACTGTTCTAGAGTTATGCCCCTTTACATATGGAAAAATTGCTGAAATATTAGTTTCTGTTCTCTAACTTTAGTTTGCCTCAACCAAATGTTATGAAACTTATGCACAATGCTAATTACAACAGAACACAGATCAAGTTCGAATTTTGGTGGTGTAAATTTTACCGTTCTAGTGTTATGCCCCTTTACAAATGAAAAAATGCTGAATTTTTTGTTTCCGTTCTCTAACTTAAGTTTGCCTCAACTAAATGGTATGAAACGTATACACAATTTTTATTACCACAAAACTCAGATGAAGTTCAACTTTGGGTAGCGTCACTTTTGCAGTTCTTCAGTTTTGTCCCTTTATAACGTTATATGCAAGCGGGGGCATCATCGGTGTCCCATGGACACATTCCCCATTTATTTATAAAAGAAAATATATCTTGTCTTGAAAAGTTTGAAAATATTGTTGACCAAAATTTAGAATCTTATATTCATATATATTACTTAGCTACCCTTTTTAAATTATTATCAGGCTATTTAAATACACTGTTAAACATAACTGTTATGAATGTGTGTGTGGTGTAAGATGCATGAGAAATATTTGTCGAATGAAATTAATGTATAATTGTTGAATATTTAAATATAGATACAAAGGTAAGTGCATCTGACACATGCCTAAAGTTGCTTGGTTTGTTGATTGCCCCATTTCTATTAATTGCAAAGGAGTAGGTTCAGTAAGACACCTTTTTGGCCCAAAATATAGCAGTTTTACAAAATTGTTAAAATGTAAACTTTTAGCTATTCATTGGAAAGTAGAATACTTCTTTTATATACATATGGGCTATTTTTGATAATACAATGCATATTAATCGGGTATACTAGCATCAGTAAGTCATGCTAAATTACTGAAATCTTCATAATTTTAGCATTTGAGTCAATTTTTAGATGGTTTCCGTCTTAAATGGACGTGGCCGCATTTGTGTTCATTCTTAATATTTAAATGTAAGTTGTATTTGATGATAATACATAACATATATAAAGGTTGAGGATGAACACGGATGCGGCCACTTTCATTTTTGACAAAACCATCTGAAAAGTGACATATTATGGCATATTTGATAGAGTTATAACATTTAAGCTTGAATATGAGCGTTTTTAATGACTAAATCAGTTCAAATCTTTCACATAAATAAATTGATTCTACTAAAGTAGACACTTAAGTGTTTAAAAAGTGTCCAAAATCTTTCATCAGATGAACCTGAAATTTGGGGCCAAAATCGGCCCTTACCGGACCTACTCCTTTGTATTCTAAAAGTTGGAATTAGGTAATAAATTATTTATAGTTTATACTGTTTTCATTTTATGTACTTCAGATTATTTAACGTTATGCATTTGGCTTCCATCTTCATTTAGCCGATAAGCTAAAATAAGTATAAGCTATGGTCATCATCCCTGAATCCCTGGCAGAACTGATCCTGCTACAGTATACTAGAACGATACATTTAACACGATGGGTGTCGTATGTGGAGCAGGATCTGCTTACCTTTCCGGAGCACCTGAGATAACCCCAAATTT